ACAGAATGAGAGAGTGCAGTAGGGATTGGCTAGCCGCCTTTGTAATGCTGTTATCCTCCAATATGATTGGCCAGATATTATTTATTATTACATAGTCATCCGCATTCAAGCCTGTTTCACTGTATCGCAGCTCATCAGTGTGACTAGATATCCGATTGCATCAAACCGGGATCAAAACCCGATGGATCTGGTATTAGTCGAAGTTCCTACACCTAAGCTATTGGCGAGAAAGAGAAATTCTAATATATTATAGACGAATGTGAACAAAATCCAGCTGCAAGAGTTCTCGATTCATTAATAAAGTGCGGTGTGTTAATAGTGATTACGGCAACTGTTTTGGAATTACCTTTTTTTCCACAAAAGTTCAATATATATATATATATATATATATATATATATATATATATATATATATATATATATATATATATATATATATATATATATAATAATAAAAAAATAAGTATAAAAACTATACTGCTCGGAAAACATTCGGTGTCTTGAAAGAAAGAACCAAGAACATGTACGTTAACCGTGTGTATTATATTTTAATATTTCTCTTTAAATATACATATATTAGGTACATTTTTCCCAATTTTTATTTCAGTCTCTCTCTCCTATATATATATGGTCATCCACATGCAAGCCTGTTTCTCTGTATCACAGCTTATCAGTAGGACTAGGCATCCGATTGTTTCAAGCCGGGATCGAAACCCGACCGATTAGGCATCAGTCGGAAATCCTACTCCTAAGCTAACGACAGATAGAAACGGAAATTCTAACTTATTGTATACGGATGTAAACAAACGTCCCAAAAGTGGTCGATTCATTAATGAAAAGCGGTGCGTTAATGGCGGTGACGGCTACTGTTTAGGAATTAACTTTTTCTCTATAATGCTCTCGATCAAATGATCACATATAAATATAAATATATATATATATATATATATATGTGTGTGTGTGTGTATATATATATATATATATATATATATATATATATATATATATATATATATATATATATATTTATATATTAATGATGAATCATTCATGCAAAAAGTAGATTAGTAAAGTTAATGATATAAAATGGCGAAATCCTTTCCCCACCAAAATTTTAAAGTTGCATTAAACTACAAATCACTCAATGAATGTTATGAGCTTTGTTTTTAATAATTATAAGCTGCATGAGGTTTTTTTTTTTAGTACGCAAGTACTTTCAACCGTACATTTAGTCATCCTCAGGCATGGAAATTGTTTTTGTTTTTAGTTAAATCCAGGTAGCTTCCGAGACGAAAAAATTAAATGCGAATCGAAATAGGTTTCCTTTGAAATGTGTTATTGTTACCGGATATAGACATAAGGTTGTTTTTTTTTAATTTAAGAGAGTGGGTTTTTTACTAATATGGCAATTTGAGAATTTTTTGTTGTAGGAGTTTATCAGTGAATGTGGCATGAACTAAATTGTTCAATAAATAGAGAAATGTCTCAGTCATTTTCCCGAAAATTTGCACGTCGGATTTCATTTAAATCAAATATGTGGCGTAGTTTAATTTATATTACAAGGAATCATTCATACAAAAAGTAGATTAGTAAAGTTAATGATATAAAATGGCGAAAGCCTTTCGCAAACAAAATTTTCAAATTGCATTAAACTACAAATCACTCGATGAATGTTATGATCCATGTTTTTAATAACTTCAAGTCGTATAAGGTCTTTTTTTATTTTGCTAGTACTTTCAGCTGTACTGACAGCCATCCTCAGGCATTTTCTTTTTAGTAAAATCCAGTTAGCATCCGAAACGAATACACACACACACACACACACACACACACACACACACATATATATATATATATATATATATATATATATATATATATATATATATATATATGGTGGGGCAAGGCTCCATAAAGATTTTGTAGTTCCTATCTTGTGCTATTTGGTAGTTTTTACTAAATGGACGGAAATTTTATAAGTGCAAAACTCCATCATCTTCAATGAATGCGAATTTCTTGCATGAACTATTTGCGAGATATGGTATGTCAGATATCATTGTCTCTGATAAGGAACGCGATTCACGGGTAAAGAATTCAAAGACTTTTCTCCATTGAACCTATTACGACCCCGCCGTATCACCCAATGTCAGATGGACAAGCGGAACGGTTTGTGGGAACGTACAAAAGAGAATTGACGGAAGCAAGTCTTGAGAAAATAAATGAGGAAGCATGTCAAAATTTTCCGAGATATTGCCGTGTAACACCTAACCTCAATACACCATCAGACATGTCACCGGCGGAATTAATGTTTGCTAGAAAAGTAAAATCGATGAATCGACAAGTTATTACCAAGTCTAAAAACACAAACGGATAGCAAAAACGACATCATAAGTTTCAAGGTCGACGATAAAGTGTTTTTAGAGCATATAAGAATGGCAAAGAAACGTGGAAAGACGGTATATCAGTCAGAATCGGCAAGTTGATTTTCATGTTAAAAAGGAAATGATTTGACCATAAAACGTACCATAATCTTCTGAAAAAAAATCTTCATCGATGAAAGACACAAAAATTGGAAGAACAGATAAAAATGCTATATAATCTTCTCGATGTACCACACCATAACAAGTCGTGGGGCCTACTTGAACACATTCCAGATAAAGAAAACGTATCTGTCTATATTTCTGAGATGAGGTATTATATACATTATTTACATTAATCGGACTATTGTCCTCATCTTTGTCGCCGTATTTATCACAATATTTCGGCCTTTCATTATCTGTCTATATTTCTGAGATGAGGTATTATGTACACTATTTACATTATTCGGACTATTGTCCTCATCTTTATTGCCATATTTGTTACAACGTTTCAGCCTTTCAGTATCTGTCTATATTTCTGAGATGAGGTATTATGTACATTATTTACATTATTGGGACTATTGTCCTCGTCTTTATCGCCATATTTATCACAACATTTCGGCCCTTCCGTATCTGTTTATATTTCTGAGATGAGGTATTATGTATATTATTTACTTATTGGGATTATTGTCCTCATCTTTGTGGCCATATTTATCACATTTAGGCCCTTCAGTATCTGTCTATATTTCTGAGATGTGGTATTATGTACACTTTTTACATTATTCGGACTATTGTCCTCATCTTTGTCGCCATATTTATTACAACGTTTCGGCCTTTCAGTATCTGTCTATATTTCTGATATGAGGTATTATTTACACTATTTACATTATTCGGACCATTGTTTTCAGCTTTGTCGCCATTTTTATGTCCAGTGACAAGACCCAAAGTGTGTCAGTTCAATACCCGGTTAAGACAGTGGAGGGAAATTAACAGGAGATAATTGATAACTGACATCCATTAAACAATGCACGAGTAACTAGAAGGGTTCAGTTCGGCTTTCCAATATAAATAAAGAGCTCCAGGTAAGCAAGAGGAAGCCGTTTGCAGTCAGCCATTTCTCTATCAGGCTCGCAGCTGACTTGTCGAAATCTCTGCATTTGGGCAGAAAGTTACCCAGACGGGCAGATTTTTATCTGGGGAGGTAGAGAAACCCAACCCCGTCTATGCGGGGCGTTCGAGGAATTTTTGCCGTAGGTACCAGGCTCGGAATCGACTCACATAAAAAACCGGCCTTGTGCCACATCCTTCCTTGTGGAGAGGTTTGAGAGAGAAGAAAGAGCTGTTTGGTGTCAAGCAGTTCTCTGCTAGGCACGCGGTAGACTTGTCAGACTGTCTGTCTTCGGGCAGACGAGGTTCTGCCTATGGGTAGAGTGTCGTCTGTGGAGGTAGACAAATCCGACCGCGTGTATGCCATTTTAGAACGTCTATTCTATTTGAACTTAACCATGATTTTGTAAGCTTTGCAGTATGTTTAGGATCGTTGCCTTGTTGAAAGACCCAACCCGGTTTCAAGCCCAGCGAATGTGCACTCCGACGTAAATTTATCTCCAAATTATCCCTATAATATTCTCCATTCATCCTCCCTTCTATTATTTCAATGTTCCCTACACCTTAGCGACTAAATCAACCCCAGATCATGCTTGATCCCCCTCCAAATTTTATTTTCTCAAAATTAAATTCTTCGGCGAATATTCAGTACCTTTCTTTCTCCAGGCCCTTGTCACAATATGCCTGCCAAAAAGTTCAATTTTCATTTTGTCTGATCAAAGTATATTTTCCACAAATTGCTGCCGAATTGATACAATGCTCGTTTAAAAAATACAGTCTAGCAAGAACGTGTTTTTGCTTAAGAAGATTTTTTTTTCCCTTGGAGTCGTCGAAAAGATGTCATACCCATGAAGATGGCATACCGATTTATTGTATCCGTACTCACTTTTACTCTACTTCTAGGCTTCCGTAAAGTTCTTTAAGCGTAACTCGGGGCTCGTTGCCAACATTTATAGCCAATAATCTTGCCGTACGTTTCATTACATTTTTAGGACGATCAGACCTTTATTTGGGACCAATGGAATGACATGTCTTCCAATGACGAAATATCGAACCAACTGAAATCAATGGCACATTTAACTGACTAGATATCTTCCTATAACCAAGTCCATTTGTATGAAGGTTAACGATAAATTTACGGAGGTCTTGATCAATTATTTTGATTTTCCCAATTCTGTCAAATTGTAAAGGTCCGTTGACGAGAAAAGAATTACGCAAAGCATTTAATCCTACCTAAAAGCAATCATAAATTAATCTGGAAGATTCTTAAAAAAATAAGACAAATCCGAATTTGGAACATTCTGGTAACATTTGAACACTTTTAAAAAAAAGGCTGTTGTAGATAAAAAAAAAATTGAAAACTTTTGTGTTACTTTTGTGTTATTATTCGTGGGATAATTTTTGCAAGTTTTTAAAAAAAAAATCTGATTGTTTGATTAAATATATAAATATATGGTCTACGGACTGTAAAAGATTAATTAATTTAACTGCATTAGAAATACATAAAAGACATATTTTGTAATGTATTGTAAACTTATGCGTGGCACTATCTATCTATCTATCTATCTATCTATCTCAGTCCTTTTCATATCTATCTATCTATCTATCTATCTATCTATCTATCTATCTATCTTTCTCAGTCGTTTTCATATCTATCTATCTATCTATCTATCTATCTATCTATCTATCTATCTATCTCACTGTTTTCATTATCTATCTCATTATGTTCATTATCTATCTATCTATCTCTATCTATCTATCTATCTATCTATTTATCTATGTTCATATCTATCCTTATATCTATCATTTGTTAATTACTATCTATCTATCTATCTATCTATCTATCTATATATATATATATATATATATATATATATATATATATATATCACTTTGTATATATATATATCACTTTCTCATTATTTTCATTATCTATCTATCTATTTATCGATCTATCTATTCATTCTATCTATCTATCTATCTATCTATCGATCTATCTATCTATCTATCTATCTATCTATCTATCTATGTAAACTCATTTTCAATAGTGTGCTCGAACAAAATCTGCTTTTTCCGTGTGTATAGTCGCCCAGGGCGTCTACTTCGAAGCATAGTTTGCTGGATATTTTCCTCCTCTTAGAGTCATTCCCCCAAGCAATAAACTACTTCATTTTCTACTGTAGTTTTCTTTCTGTGAGCAAAACGATTTTCATGTAAAAATTTTCCGATGTTTTTGATCATAACTCTTAGAATTTTCATTTATTCACTCACACACATGCAAACACACACACACACACACGCATATATATATATATACGCACACACATACAAATACAATTGAATGTAATATTAACATATGTAGATATATACATCAATGTATTTACAACTTAATATCTTGAGTTTCTACATAAATCCATATATTGCATAAATCTTTATTATATCCATGCATAATTGCTTTTATGTAGCTATGTTTTACTTATGCATACAATCACGTATATATATATATATATATGTGTGCTTGTGTGTGTGTGTATATATATATGTGTGTGTGTGTGCGTATATATATATGCATATGTGTGTGTATGTATATATAAATATATACATGTGTGTGTGTGCATATATATATATATATATATATATATATATATATATATATATATTATGAAATGGATTAAGGCCAACAATTATTTAATAGATTTTCTGGAAAATAGGCGTTCTCCAACAGGAATCGAACCTGTGTCTTATAACGAACCGTTTTTTGAGCTAACATGCTATACCATTCAGCTCTAGTGAAGATTCTGGTTAGGAATATCCAAATATCTTTCCCGAACGATCATATCCGCTCATGAGACGTACCTTAACGTAAACATTGACAACATATTATGAAATGGATTAACTCTGACGATTAATCTGTTTTCTGTTTACACGTTGTTTTAATAGAAATTATAAAATTAAATGCTCTGTTTTTAATTAGACAGTATTAAATCCATTCGTCTGTCTGAATGTTCGAGAAATTTCGTAAAAAATATGCCTTCTCCAGCAGGAATCGAAACTGCGTCCTTTACGGAACCGTCATTTGAGCTGACATGCTATACCACTCAGCTATAGAGAAGTCGAAATTAATGTTTTAAAACAAAATTCGATCATTTGTTGAGAACGATTGAATTAACGGTAATTATAATTTATAATTTTTGTTCACACGACAAAGTGACTGTATATGAGAGAGTTCATACGGTTCTGGCTGTCAACGTCTGTGGGTTGATTTTCTAAGTGTAGTTTAGATGTGGCACAAGGCCAAAACTATGGGGCACCCAGTGAGAATCGAACTCAATATTTAGTCATAACTGTTTTAGCGAGACAAGCTTGCAAACCATTACACCATACCGAGGTTCCCTTTCAATGTCTATTTGATGATAGACATTGATAGACACTTTATATAGGGTGTTCTTTTGTGGCCTTCTTAAACCGTTTCGCCTGAAAACAAACTAACATACTTTGCTGGTTACTTTCTATCTATTCACTCACCAACCCCCCACCCCAACGGGCAACCGTCTTTGATTTGTTTATTTGCCACACCCATCTACCCTCCACCGTCCACTTCATGCTTGTTCAGTAATACGAATCTCTTCGATGTTTCGTCTTTTATTTGGCTTCCTTCCGATGCTAAAAGACTCGACAATATATTTCTAATGTCTCTCCTGGTCTCAGAAGTTTCAGTGGGTTTCGGGGTTTTTTTTTTCAGTTTCTTTTCTGTGGTCGCGAATGGCCAGTTTCAAGATGAAGAGACATACCATTTGACCTTTGATTGCATCATTCTTTCTGAAAGAAAGTCTGAGTGGGGAAAAAAAAGAACACGAAAGAAAGAAACGACGAAGGGAAGCGACAAGTGGAAAGAAAGAGTGAACAAAGAAAAACAAAAGAGTCCAAGGAATAAAAGAATAAATTGCTCAAGAAAGAAAAGGCAAATCTGAAAGAAAGACAGAAATCAGGCAAAGGAAATAGTGAACATTAATAATGAAAAAAAAAAAAACGACAAAGTAAAAATAAAATATTAAAGAAACATAAGCAGATGGAATGAATTAAAATGAAAGAAATTTTTTTTCTTTTTCCTCCGCATCCTTTTCCTATTTTCTTTAGCGTATTTCTCCTCATTCGAATTTTCTTCTTTGATTACTTTATTCCATTTTCTTCACTTCTTTCTTTCTTTCTTTTTTGCTATTTTTCTTCCTTTCTTTTTTCTTTCTTTGTTCTTTCTTTTCTTTCTTTCTTTCTTTCTTTTTTCTTTCTTTTTTCTTTCTATCTTTCTTTCTTTGTTCTTTCTTTCTTTTTTGCTATCTTTCTTCCTTTCTTTTTTTCTTTCTTTGTTCTTTCTTTTCTTTCTTTCTTTCTTTCTTTCTTTTTTCTTTCTATCTTTCTTTCTTTTTGCTTTCTTTCTTTCTTTGTTCTTTCTTTCTTTTTTGCTATCTTTCTTTCTTTCTTTGTTTTTCTTTCTTCTTTTTTGCTTTTTTTCTTTCTTTTTTGCTTTTTTTCTTTCTTTTTTCTTTCTTTCTTTTTTCTTTCTTTCTTTCTTTCTTTTTCTTTCTTTCTTTCTTTTTTCTTTCTTTCTTTTTTCTTTCTTTCTTTTTTCTTTCTTTCTTTCTTTTTTCTTTCTTTTTTGCTTTCTTTCTTTCTTTTTTGCTTTCTTTCTTTTTTTTTTGCTTCCTTCCTTCTTTCTTTCTTTTTTGCTTTCTTTCTTTCTTTTTTGCTTCCTTCCTTCTTTCTTTCTTTCTTTATTTTTTCTTTCTTTCTTTTTTGCTTTCTTTCTTTTTTATTTCTTTCTTTCTTTGTTTTTTTGTTTTTTCTTTCTTTCTTTCTTTCTTTCTTTCTTTCTTTCTTTCTTTCTTTCTTTCTTTCTTCTATTCACTTTCCCTGTTGTCTTACCTTCATTTTTTAATTTTTCTTTATTTTGCACATTCCTTTCTTTCTTTCTTTCTTTCTTTCTTTCTTTCTTTCTTTCTTTATTTATTTATTTATTTATTTATTTATCTATTTATTTATTTATTCTGTTCTCTTTCCTTCTTGTCTTTTTTCAATTTTTTTCATTTTTGCACTTTCTTTTTTCTTTTTTTTTTTTTTTTTTTTTTTTCTCATACAAGCAATCTTAATTTTTTGGTGTTCATTCGTTCATTTATTCTTTCTTTCTTTCTTTCTTTCTTTCTTTCTTTCTTCTATTCACTTTCCCTGTTGTCTTACCTTCATTTTTTAATTTTTCTTTATTTTGAACATTCCTTTCTTTCTTTCTTTCTTTCTTTCTTTCTTTCTTTATTTATTTATCTATCTATTTATTTATTTATTCTGTTCCCTTTCCTTCTTGTCTTTTTCAATTTTTCTTCATTTTGCACTTTCTTTCTTTCTTTTTTCTTTCTTTTTTTTCTCATACAAGCAATCTTAATTTTTTGGTGTTCATTCGTTCATTCATTCTTTCTTTCTTTCTTTCTTTCTTTCTTTTTTATTCTTTCGTTTATTCCTCACCAATCTTTTCTTGTTCCATCCTCATCTCAGTTCAACTCGCCATCCTTTATCCGCTTATTTTTCTCTATCTTCCTTTCTTTCTTTCATTCTTCCTTCTTCCTTTTTCTATTACTTTATTCCTTCTCTTTCCCTTTTTTTCTTTCATTTGGCTCCGTTCTTTCTTTTTTCTTCCTTTTATTCTTCCTTTTATTCTTTCATTTATTTCTGTTTAATTGGTTATTTCTCTTTTTTTTTCTTTCGTTCATTCTTCCTGTTAATCACTTTATTTTTTCTCTTTTCCTTTTTTCTTTCATTTAA